CCAGGGCACTTCATCCCCCACCAACACTGCAACAAGCAGTGATGCCCAACCAGGTATACTTAGGATCTCCTGACTCACTTAGTGCCATAACAGTCTTCAGCTGAGATCTTTCAGAAAAGAAAGACATATACGGCTATGAAGCATATAAGCATATACCCTACTGCAGTACCCCTCGAGCAAGTCACAGCCCGGGATTTGAGACAGTGATCCTGGGCCAGCCACCGCTAACTTTTGCGCTAGACCAGGACTCTCTTCACTCCAGAGTTACCTCCCTTAGTATGTCCCTTGCCAGCCCTCTTGGCCCTGGCACAGCCCTTTGCTGTATGCATGTGCTTTGGAGAAGGGGCCAGGTGACTCCCAGGGGAAGAAATGCCGATATGCAGAGTACTGTCTTTGTGCCGCTGCTTCCTCGCACAGGCCATACAGGCACAAGCCATACAGAGCTGCTCCTCCCATATTGCAGCTCTCCCTCTAGAAGTGTAAAGTAATGAACAGTAATTTCCTTATGCAGTGCTTTTACAGTTTATGAAAGGAGATACAGTCCAAAAAGTCAGTATGTTAATCTCCTTTCAGGCAGCTCTCCACTCCACTCTTGAGTATTTCTAATAGGCACAGTAATCATGCAGTACCAAAAACACTGCTCTGCCCTTTTGGTGACAGATTGTAACGGTCATAAATAATCACTGAATCCATGCTAACTAAGAGGAGCTCATTCCTTTGCAGTCCCAATAGTGTGTCACTTCATGATCCATCACCGTGTCTCATCAAAATGAATTGGTCTTTTATCTTTCTGTTCCTGCACATTAGCAGCCATTTCCATTTTCCTCAGATGAATTTTATAACAAGGTTCAGTGACGGATTCCTTACAGAAATGGTTTCAGATTTTCCAAGGCACAATGGAGGAGAAAGAACGTCACACAGACGGCCTGACGATTTCTGCAATGCCGTCGGGGTTTCACAGACTGAAAATGTTTCCATTCTAAAGACTCTGCTTTGAAAGAGCTGCTTCACCTTCTGAGTTGCTAGTGAAATAACTACGTTCATGCCACACTGACATTGGTACCGCACATTAAAAACTGACATGAAACGGTTGCATTTGACAATATGCCTTCCACTGGCATAGGGTTTTCCTTCTCAGGTTGTAGACATTTGCATGGCATAAACAAAGCTGCTGCTTCATCTCTTTGAGAAGCCCCCAAATCCTAGTCTATTGCACATTTTCGCACAGATCGCTTTGAGCTTGCTTGGATGAAAAGCCAAGAAGCACTCCTAAAAATTATCCGAGATAGAAGTAAATGTACTAATGATCACTGTTTTCCCAATATTTGTGTCTAAACTGATGGCCAAATGCTTGAACTTTAAATAAAAAGAGTCTAGACACACTGAACATTCACTCCCCAGACAGTTCACTTTAGTGTTTTGTTTGGTTGTTTTTTTGTTTCGTCTCATTTCATTTTCAAGAGCTCTCAGGAGACTTCATGGGACTTTTCTTGAAAATCAGAAGTAATAGCTAGTTCTGGCTAACATTTCTACAATTATAATTGTATTAATGAAGTGATTCCTTTTCTACTGTGATAAAAGTGAGTTCAGCATCATGATCAATATTTTCCAGGTCATGTAGAACTGCCATAGGGAGGAAAAGTAAGTCTGCTCACTAAGCATTGTGCTGTTAAAAGCACTGCATAAGGAACTCTTTGCATAACCAAATAGTGCTTTAGGTTATGTCAGCGTTTTATCCAGTGGACTCACTTCATTCTTCCTTACACACACTTCATTCTCTTCTCTTTCATATCTGAGCAGAGCCGTTAAATGGGGCACTTTATCACAGAAATCATTTGCAAAAGATTTTTAACGTTTTGTTATGTATTTTCCATAACTCTCTCCTCATTACTGATCATTTTATGCTGTTTCAAATTATTTCCCTTCATACACCTTCAGAACTTGCAATGAACTTTCAGTTTCTGGGCCCATGGGGGACACACATCACTAAAAACACATCCATTTGACACACTGTCCTGAGCACTTCCATCCAATAAAATCAGCTATAATCTGCTGCACACAATTTCTGGAAGCTGATTAGATTGCATTGCCTAATCTTTTCTCACAATTCATCTTGCAATTTTCTTTGAGGCAAAGCCTCCCCTCCCTTCCACCACCTTTCTAATAATCCACTTTTCCATTATCCCTAAATTGAAGTGATAACAAAGTTTGAGTGTTGCATTAGGTAGTACATCAGGTAATGAAAGTTATGCACATCTTGTGCACTTCTGCCTCAGTGCTGGTAATATGCCTACACTTTTATGGCTTCATGTAACGCCAGATGCCTCCTGCAGATACTAGCCCACAGCAGTGGCAGGCCATGCCCAATAAAGGAAGGACTGAGCTATAGTCAGCATGTTTGCATGTGGTCCACTCAGACTTTTGTTCAAATGTTCTTGTGTCCCTGTTCTCAGATATTTTGACTCTCACATTTGTAGAAATCATGCAGAAGAAAGGAGGAGGCAAGGTGCCTAACTTTTTACAAGAAGGTGTTATGTAAGATCAGAGTAGTGAACAGGAACAGGAACAGGAACTGCTTTTGTGACCTGTATTCTAGCTGTATTCTAGCTGTTTGCAAGGTGGGAGCAGTGAGCCAGCCCTGGGAACGAGTTGTGTAGGAGCAGTGAGGAGCTTCCATCTTGGGTGCACTTGGATTCAGTGGTGGCTTGGGTTGTGTGATGTTCACGTGGGCACACACTGCAGGTTATTGTCCATGACTGTTGTTGTGATCTCATATCGCCTGGTCTTAAACTTTAAACTTAAACTCTTTTTCTTAATACTCATTCTCTGATAGTTACCAGCATTTCCTGGCTCTGTGCCAGCTTTGAAGAAGATGAGGTAATTCAGTCCAATGAAACAGACATTTTTGGCAGGAAAAAACATGGCTACTCTTTTGCAATGGCTTATTCTTCCCTTCAACTGCTTTCTTTAGGTGCAATGATGGTCTGCAGAGAGGGTAGTGTCAACCCCAGATCTGGCAGACAAGGCAGCAGTATAACCCATGGCTTCCTTAGATAAATCACATTGAGAGTTAGGAGTAAAAGCTGAATGTCTATTTAGCAGGAAGAGTGCACCTCCGCATTGTTCACTGTATTGAGCCCATGTGGAGTAGTACCTTTGATGTATAAAAGATGAAAGTCTTTTTTTTTTTTCAGTTCTGAACTTGTTCTATGACTCTACAGTTAAGCGTCTTTCCTTTACAGACTAAGAAAATTTTGCATGAGTGTTGTTGGATTTGCTCCACAGGCAAGCTGTTTTCATTTAAGATGTCTTTGTGTGCTGGCAACCTTGTCTGAAGGTTATTTCATTTTATTCTCCTTGATCAAATGCTATTCACAAAACGGTGGATGTCACGACCCAGTAATCCCATTTAATGAAATGCAATGTCTCCTGACTGGCTAACAAAGGGAGATACCATTCAAACATAATTATTGGACCATAGCATTCAACTCGTGACTAATATCAAATTTGAAATAACTCTTGGTTTTCTCCTTCTGTTCACCTTGAATGAACATTAAATTGATTAATAGATCTAGATATCATCAAAGGCCTGAGAATCTGCACACACACTATAATAAAGGCAAAAATCATTGCTGATGGATACATTTAATTCACTTCATAATGCATACTGCTAATTCCCTTGTCCCTTGAATGATCTCAAGTTAATGATGTTACAAATTTATCTCCTCAAAATAATTAACTCTTATCAAAATCCACTATATTTAATTTACTCAACCATAACAAGCTGGTGTTCCGAACATACTTACAGTTTGTCTTTCATATCAGAAATATGAAAATAAATGGAAAGAAAGAGGACCTAGATCCATGAGTGAAATTTAAGATCAGCACTGCAACACCCAAATCTTGTTATCTTGCTACTTACAAGAATCTATAGCCTTGAGTGAGGTTCCAGCCACAGGAAAAACAACATGCCTAACACCATGACCCACAAAAAGCAATACCCTACCCCACGTTGGCTGCTGTTTGGAGTACCAAAGAGAGTGTCTGGCCAGGACCTACATCCAGGGCAGCAGGAGACATAAGCTCTTGTGCAGGATGGGAGTTAAGGTTCCTGATCAGCAGTGTACTCTCAGGACTTCAATAATCATATGCCCAGTAAACATTGAGATGCCCAGATATTTTTATTGATGGGAATTTAGGCATCCCAACACGGTGTTTTTAGCCATGAGTTTCGTACTTGGCCAGTTAAGATTGACATGGATTAACCAGCTAATGACTGGGAAAGTGATCAACTCTTTAGTACCAACATATCCACATGGCAAAGAAAGGTTACCTGGCTGCTAACGTTGCAGCTCCCAAAGTGAACAAAGAACAGAGACCATAGACTGTACTGGTAGAAAGGGCTCCTGGCATTATTGGGCAGAGAAGAATATTAACCTTTGTGTGCTGATGACAGTACTAATCAGTAATTTAATCCAGCCTGTTTTAAATACCCTGGAAAGTCAGAAGAGAAGGCACTCTGTGCTTCCCTTCCTTTCTCAAGGATCATCTGCAGCTGCTATATGTTTCCAAGCAGCTGCAACATTTGTCCAAGGAGGATGAAGCAATCTGTTCAGTGTCTACATACTGGTCTGAGGAGTGCTTAAAAAAATCCTTTGTGATGATCAGCCCTTTCTAAAATTCCTTGCTAGGGGCCAGGTTCCACCTCCATATCTCACACTGCAGAGACCTCAAACACACACACACACACAAATATTCATGAATACCCAAAACCACATTCACCACTATGATAAAAAGCCAGTGGTGTTTCTCAGCACTGGCTGGAAGGGAAGGAGAGGGACAAGCAATAAAGCTGCCATTGCTTTCAAAGCACAGAGGTCACCGTTCAGCACTTCTGAAAATTTCCTTCCCCAGAGTCTATAAATATCAGCAAACACCATTCAGTTTTTCTTCACTTGCCTATGGTGACTTACAACAGCCTTATTTGTATTCACATCCAGGATTTTAAGTACAAATTCGTGGCCGCCTGCTGCCCCGGAGCCGAGTCTGTCTGAGCGGAGGTCAACAGGGCTAGCTGTCACCACCGAGGTTCATTGCCGGCAGCTCCCTGCCAATGCTGAAAACGAGCCACCGCTCCTGGCGTCGCTGACACCAAGCAGAAACCTCATTACCTCTTCGCACTCGCAGGTAAGAAGAGCCTGCCACACAAAGTCAGAGACAGACCCTATTGCAAACGCATGGGGGGGGGAAGTCAAGGAATTACCAAGAGGTAACAGGATGGGTTCACCATCGGCTGAGGGAACGGTGGGCCTCCCCGTCATGGCATGGGGGCTAGTCAAAGCTTTGGCTCGAGTAGCACGTTTGCGGCATCTGGCTCTACAGTATCCTTGGGGTGGGGGGGTACGCAATGATCAAACAGTAAGTCTTATGATAAACTCACTTTCTTGGATTCCTGGAATTGGGGATTTTTGGGATGCTCCCCAGGGATACCATGAGAGACAACAGTCTGTGAAAAAAAGTGACTCCTAAAAAGCACTCCTAAAAAGCGACTGCAGTGGCTAACCTACAAGCTCTGCGGTGATTAATTGTAGGGGTAACAACAGAAAAATAACTCTGCAACAGTAAAAACATTCTTTTAAAGGGTAAATACATCTAAATGTGAGTGAAGTAATTAAATATTTAAGTGAAGGCTTCAAACAAGTGTCTTTTACCCTATTGGGTGTGTAAATGCCACCTATATTTTACAATTTTATCCAACTTACAACTTTATGCTAGTGCACAAATCCAGCATATGCTAAAACTAATGAAATCAGTACTTATGTACATATATAAACCACCCCGGAGCAGCTAAAGCTTGCTATTAATGAAACTATTAAAGGCAGACAAAACAACATTCAAAATAAACTAAGAAATAATATGATGTTTACAGTTATTAAATAAGTTACAAACAACTTATTTAGATGACCACTCTGTACTTCTGTTTTACATGTTTATTGCACTCCACTTTCCCTCAGAATCACTGGAAAATCAATTAAAATTTGTCTGATAGGATCATACAACTTTTGGGGGAAGAAAGCCTGAATCTAGCAGAATGGATGAGGTTGTATTTCTTCCCTTACTTATTTGGCAAAGGCAGTTTTATTGACAGCCTTGATGCCCAGAAATTTCTATTGACCAGATCTCTGCAGCGTGAATAGGTATTTCAATAGTTCCCAAACTGTTACAGGTCAGCGCCTCCAAAAAAATAAAAGAAAAACAGCAAACCCAAAATGTGAATGATAAAACTGCTTGGTGCCTTTTACAGCAAAAGGGGTGGGCAAAAGTCACTGGCACGTAAACCAAGGGAGGGCTGGCAAAACCTGTCTGTCCCCAGCCCACCCCGTGCAGCTCAGGCGAACGCCCGGCACCAGTATGGAGCCCAGGACCGCGGCTGCCGCTGGGACCTCGTCCTGCATCCCTCAGGCACCAGGACCACTGCTCAGGAGTGTGCGAGGCGCCCGCAGTGGGGCTGCAGGCTGGGAGAAGCCAGCGGTGAGTATTTCTCCAGGCCAGATAAACGCTGTTCCTGCAACTGCTTTAACCAGTTGCAGCCCCACGGACAGCGGAAAATATCTGAACTATGTGACCACCTGGCAAATAAAAATTTTTCCTTTTGAGGAGAAAAGTGGAATACCATTAATTAAAAATATTTAAAATACCATTCAGCGTTTGGTTGGGTTGATTGTTAAAACAGCATAATGTGGTTGATGGATCCCTGGTGTAAATTAGCCATTTGCTTCCATAAAAAGGTATTATGCACTGCCGCTCTCCTAGGCAGACTCTCTGGGCTGCACTGACAGATCTAATCAGGTATTTAATTGCGTTCTTTCAAAAGTGAACAGGAAAGGTATTCAGTGACCACTGAAGACATTTCCAAAGGAAAAATACTCACTTTCTCCTAAAGAAAATGATTAGTTCTTTTGGGGACTATGTTATTGAGAAGGATTGGCCGTAAATGTGGATTGCAGATGATTTACTCTATATCCTGGGATTCTGGGGATGAGTCATATTACTGTACCAGACAATGGCTGGACAAATCAAAAAAATCTGCTTCTGTTACTAGGAGAAAGAAATATATAGCGGAAAAAAGCATTCTTCAGTGTGCTGATAAAAGCAAATACATATTCAAAAGACCTGTAGAACCATACTTGTTTACAGCACTAAAACAAAAAAAAGTTTTCATGTCTAAAATTTTCATATTGTCATATATATATATATATATATATATATATATATATGTATGTATGTATATGCATAGATATGCACACACCCGCACACACATGAATATAAAACTGTACATTTTGAAAAAAGGTCCCAAGCTCTGGATCACTAATGGACAGGAGGCAAATTCTAGAAATTTGCTCAGTTTTGATCTGGCTTATGACACTCATCGATGAATAACAGCATCATTTTTAAGAGTTCAGTTGTGATAAAAACCTGAAGGTTAACTGTCATGTTTCTGTGCTATATCAGAGACTGTAAGGGACAGGGGTGTTCTGCTGAGAAAAAAAAGTCAACCACTTGCCACGTGCTGGTATCAAGGAATATTAAGTATCTTCTTCCAGTTCACTGAGCCCTCACAGATTTAAGATAGACAAATATAGCTGTCTCTAGCAAGGTAATACAGAGTGCAGGCTATTTCAAGAGGAAGTCTAGGCGAAAGCAAGCCTGAGGAAAAATGCTGAGCTAAATTCAATATGATGTTATTGTTAATTTCTCCATTCATTAAAGTAGACCTTAGGAAAGGAAAGTGAATTTAAGCTTTCCGATGTGTGAAATATACTTGAGAAGCAATTGAATCAGGCAACTACTGACGAGAAAGTACAGCAGCAGCTGAGTTAACATTTTCTAAGACAAGTCTGAGTTTTAGGAGCGGCCAATCCAAGCGGCCACGAAAAGGAAAATGTGAGAACCACATTTTGAAATGGGAAACTGGCAAAAAAAAAAAGATTAATATACTTTTGGAAGTGTGGCCCTTAGGTATGAAACTACTTGAGTGAATTTTCAGCAGCCTGAAAAGCGCCGTGTCATTAAAAGTAGTATAGATCTATGGACAATCACTGTTCATACTTGGCTCAGGATAAAGAAAAGCACTTCAGACATATACTCCATTGAACAGGTACTGCTGTTCACAAGACTGCTTAAGCTGCTTTTACTTAAACAGAAGCCCATCATAATATTACAGAATACTTTAAAAGTGCTCTGTAATTAATTTGCAGAAATAAACTAGCTAACGATGGCTGAATCACGGACTTTTGTTCTGCAAAACCCCAAGGTGACCATCCCTCAGAGATGCTCAGCCCTGGAGAAGTCCCAAGGCAATGCAGAGCTGCAGCCTTGCCAGGTCCGTGCAACGGCCTTGCGCTCAGGTCCTGCCTCTCCTTCCTCCGTCAGGCTGTCTCCGAGGGAATCCACTGCTGATGGCCTGACACCTTGTCCTGCTTTTCTAGGAGTGATGTGGAGGGTGCACATCTGAACTCTGCTTTCAGCTCCCCTTCAAGTCAACAGCATGAGCATGTTAGAGTATTTCTCTTACTGCAATCCCCAAAACAGTGCTTTTGGGTGCTTTCCAAACCTCCAGAGAGGTTACCTGTTTGGAAGGCAGGGCAGCAGCAGCCCCTGGAGGCATGCCAAGTCTTCTATGAAATATCAGCAGCACTGCCACATGAAGGTACCAAGAATGTGACAGAACTAATAACGGAAAATGCCACTAACATTTCTATGCAGTTAGATACTGTGCTGCTTCTGGCAGGCAGCAATAATCAGATAATCATCCATTCAAAGCTAGACTGATGAAAAAGAGACTCTAAATAAAATGCAGCTAGTGCAAGAGAAGAATGCAAAGGTCCAAGTGACTGTCCCCCTCCTTGGGGGGTCGACTGCTGTGGGGACCCCGGAGCCTGCTGAGAGCCATCGGCGCATGCAAAGTGCTCCTGAAACCGCCCGGTCTCTAGCAAACAAACTCTGCCTGCTCCAGCATTTTGCAGCATGGCCTACTGCTAAAATAAAGAAACGTCTGAGAATGTGGAGAGATCTCCATTCAGATAAATGCTAGGACCAAATAGTTGTCGAAGGCTGAGCCCGAGCAGGTAAATGGCAGCTATTTTCCTGGAACGCTGGCTGTTGCCGTTGTCTCAGCACAGCTGTACTTTCAGACATCAGGCAATTCAGGTTTAGGTGCTAAACAAAAGATTTAAGGAAGGAGAATCTTCCTGAGGGAAGGAGAGGAGCCAGGACAGATTTCTGAATGAATGTACATGCTCAGAGTTAAAGATGTGAAAATGTCACCTGCTTGGGACATGTTATTTTGGGAGAAATCCAGACTTAGTTGTCTTTCTTCTACCAAGTCTGTAAATGTTATTCTGACTCCTCTTTTAGAAATAATATCACATCTTGTGCAAACGGAGACTGTAAAAATTTAAATTAGCTACGTGCTTTATTTGTATTATTTATTTGTGTTATGATGCTGTGAAAAATTGATTATACATTCAACCCTCACAGCCACAGAGTGGCTGCAGAGTTTAATGAGGACACAGCTGAGATGCTGGCTGCAAATGCCACCTGGCTTCCACAATGTGATGAGCTGAAAAGAAAAAATAGATTTTCTGAGCTGGTCTCGATTTTGGAATGATTAATAAAAGGCAGCTCCAACACTTGTGTTAGGAAAGTGGACTGATGAGTACCAACTACACTTTCCTGTCCTGATTAATCCCTGTTAATAATGCCTGGCAATAAAAATGCAAAATATATTATAATTTAAATAATATTGACACAGAGAAAAATTATTTCAGATTTGCAGATAGACATGGGGTGAGGTAGGCTTTGCACACGGATGTTAGGATAGTACAGAAGAAATGGTATGAGCTCAGCAGAGGCCTCGTGCACTCGGGCCGGGGCCCAAGGGCAGACACCTCTGTGCAGGTCTCAGTGCAGCTGGTGAGCAAGGTGGGAGCAGACCCCCAGCTGCAGCCCCACCGTGCAGCAGCACAACGACTGACCTGGCCACCACGCTCAGCCCGGTGGGTCCCCTGATGGGAGGAAACTCAGTGCTGAGGAACTAGCCGGAAAACAGGAGGGAAGGAAAGAGAAGAAAGGAGTGAAAGAGAAGGAAGGAAAGAAGGAAAGAAGAAAGGAAAAAGAAAAGGCAAGAGAGGGAAGGAGAGAGAGAGAAGGAGAAAAGGAAAGAAAGAAAGGAAAATAGCAAGCAAGCAAGCAGCAAAAGGTTTGCATCCTGTCCCTGGGCATTCTTCATCCTGCTGTAGGTCATTTCAGCCAAAAATGTCAAACTAATTAGGAGAAAATAAGATCTAATATGAAGCCGAAGCCTGAGACTGCAGCCTCATCCCCAGGTGAGGTTTGGTGATTCTTTTGCTGTGGAGTAATTTGTGTTTTCTTTGCTTTTTGTTCCTCTCTCTGGTTTTAGCTGTCATCAGGAGGGAAAACAAGCCCATTCTGAGGATATTGCTGAGGTATTACCTTTAATGGACCAGTATTCAAGTTTGTTTGTTGTTTATATTAAGAGGAGCCTGATCTTGTTAAAAAGGCTAATATATGCTGCAGATAAAATCCTATCTAAAGGTCTTAACTGTTTGGCTATTTATCTACCATGGTGTTGAATTTAGTGTGTTATGTCTGAGGTATGCTGCCAAGGATAGATTTAGGTTGTAATCGCTGCAAGAGAGGAAGCTGAGCTGTCTCCTGTATGCAAATCACTGAAGACGTTAATGGCCATCAGCAAATAATAAATAATCCTCCTAATAACGCCAGGGCTCGTTTCTTGTCTGTACCAAATTCATTCTTAGGAACAAGTTGTAACTGAATGTTACTGTTTTTTTTTTTCATTTATATAGAAATATTCATTTAACAGACTTTGATCCAATTAAATGCTTTTTTTCCCCCCCCGTATTTGCCCAGGTTTCACAAGAATAAGATATTCTACTCAGGTATGTGTATATACACTATAAGAAATACACACGCTCACATCTACTATTAGTCTTTGTTCTGCACCTAATATTTTTCCAGAAAATGTTTTTGAATAGGAATTTTAGGCAGCAGAAATCTAAGTTACCCATATAGCATAGCTGAATTCCAGAAGTTATGGCCATGTGGCCAGATATGCAGCTTGATAGTTTCTTGTCTCACAAAATTGTACCTTCTCACTAGCTGTGAGTGGATAAATCACTGCCCATCACAAACCTTTCTGAGCTTGTGTCACTAATCTCTTGTAATACAGAGGCTCACTGTCTCCATTCATTGTCCATCAGATTTGAAGGTACCTTATTGATACCACTGGAAAAAAAAATCCTGTTCAGTTACACGAGGTCATTATCTGGGATGAGTCTGAAACTGCCATGGAACTGGAGAGTATAGGCACCAGGAGTGTTCAGCTAAATGAGTACTATCTGTGCTCGTTAAGCTGATGATGTTTACAATAGATAACGCTGCCTGAAAAAAAATAAATTTTGTCATGGATTTGCTATATTTGGCCATATTTTTCTGTGCAATGTTGGCAAAAGTTTAGCTGTTTTACATAATTACTAATAATTCACTGAGATACAGATTGGAAATGTTGAGGTTTATGACAGCAGATTAAGTGGCAGTGGTGTGATTTGTTTGTACATATTTCGGTACTGCATCAGTAGCCAAAGCATATACTGAATTCCTGGGTGACTGTTTTGGTACAAGCAGTAACATAAGATTTATTCCTTTTATCATTTGGCAAGCCACACATATTTGGATAATAAGTACCCAAACACAATTAGCATTGTAGATTACATAGATTAATATAGTTAAAGTAGTTTTGAGATAGTTAGATAGTAGTTTTGAGATAGGAAAATGGAGCAAATATAGTGAAACATCACTGCACTGTCAGGAGTTCAAATACAGTGAAATATGGAGTGGAAATATGACAAGTAATAGCAGTAAATGCAGACACAGCTGGAATGGTACTGGAAAACAGGACACCTAACACTGATTAAAATCTGGGCCCACTAGGTAATGTCTGATGCCAGTGTTGTTTCTTATAGTGGTCTCCATTATGGTTTAACAAAATAACTTCTGTGAGACCAAAAGCACATTAGTGCTGGCGTACCAGCAAGCCCCACTTAAGGAAGAGCCCCCCTCTGCCCTTAACCTTTGCAGCGGGCTTCCTTCTCTCCAGCAGCTTTCCAAGAAGTACAGGTGATCCAGACCCTGTAGAAACACACAAACCCCCAGCCTGCAAGCTTTTCAGTATCATTGCTTTCATAATATTTACACTGGCTATTTTTTAACATAAAGGAGATCAGGAATTTACAACTGTACCGAGGTAAACATGAGGAGCTTGGCAAAACTCTCTGGGCTTACACTAAAAGGACCTACTGTTAAGCAACAAATACCATTGGTGGCAATATCCCATCGAAGAGTAATGCTGGACAACTCTGAGCACATTTGCATTGCACACTAAAAAAGGTTGCCAGGCTGCCCTCTAGACCAGATGCACCAACTAGCCATCTCATGGATCTGTAAGTCTGGCCTCATATATTGCCAAACATACCCTAAAAACTGCACATCCCCACATGTTAGTGGCCTGACATCCTCACTGCCTCAGAGTGCTCTCAGAAGCACTTGAAATACTTTTTTCGTACTAATAAAAACTAATTCTTTTCCCAGCACTATCAGCTACGAGATTTGATGCTCGAACACTCTACAGTGCCCCATCTTCTCATTAATTGGTGTTTCAGCTGTCAACAGTGCTCACCTGCAGCGAGTCCCAGTTAGAAATCGTTACTTACCGCTGCTGCTACAGCAGAGAACTGTTTATTTCCCCATGCTGTTTCTAGACCAGAAAGTAATCACAAGATCTAAAAATACTACAACGTGGTAACTGCTATATCTGACTGAAGCAGAGCAATCACTGAGCATTGCTTTCATCACATCTGTGTGTAGATAAGAATATTGGTTTGTTCATGAAATCATGCTTCTGAGTTTTGTGCTTTTGGGTTTGTTTGTTTTTTTTTCCCCCCACATCACCAGCTGCAAAAGCATAACAAGACTTACCAGGAATAGCTGTTGAACACGGGGTAAGCGTGGCACAGCACAGAGGGATCTTGTGCACGTCTAAGAGACGTAACCAGGTTATAAACTGAACTCCGGACATAATTTGATTCCCAGCTTTACATGGTAGACCAGGTCAAGCAAATACAGAGCGGCATGTATCTCCCAGAAGGGCTCAGAAAATCCCACAAGGTCTGTCTCTGTCTAAGCACCTAAAAATAGTCTAACGATCTGTCCTCGTCTTGGAAAAAAAAAGCTCTCCATTGATTGATTTTGAGCACAGGCTCATAAAACGTGCACTGCATCCTCTCAGGGAGCTGTCATCACCTTGCTGTTATCATGAGAAAATGAGTTATTTGAAACAAACACAAGGATGTGCTCTGCAACTGGGTGCGAGGCTTCAGGGACAGCAGCCTCCGTGACCTGAGTTTGGGCCAGCCTGGTATCATCGCTGCCCGTCACGGAGAGCCGAAATCCCACCAGGACCGTGCTGCGGGGCTAGCAGGGGAGAGTCCAAGCTCGAAAGGCCAGCCTCCAGCTCGAAAGCCCAGGAAAGCCTTCAGCATATAATAACAAATAACTTGTGCAATATTTAAACTGCTTTTCACACCTCTCAAAAACCAGACCAGGTCTGGTTACATCAAGCCAATATTATTTATGTGCACCGACACCTTGATATACAAATAGAAAACTAAAATGCACTTGGGAAGAACATAGAGCTTCAAGTTGCTTGATGTGACTCATATTATTAATTATGCCCTCTGTTTCTGGCATTACGATTAAAGATTATCAATATCCCAGGGTACCATGCAGATATTTTATGGAATCATTAAACAATATCACAGAAGAATTGCAGCCACATCATTCAATGTGGGATGGCATTACTGTAAGACATAAAATTGAACAATCATATGCTTACTATTGTGATTTACAGCATGTGAAATCATTATATTTTATCTTTTAAAAAAAAGAGAGAGGAGTTCATAGATGACCCTGTCCAAATAAATAATAAACAGCAGGAAACTAAGTGAAGGGTTTATTTTATGTACAGTAATGAAGGAAAAGCGATAATTCCTACGACCAGCCAAATGGTATTGATGATGAATGCCAGTTTTGGCCAGGTACCAAGTAAATCAGGCACAGGTGTGAAAATGGTAGTCTAAGGGAATTAATGTAATAATTTATTCTCTGTTTTTTCAAGCATACTTTACCTCTTGCCTTTCAGTTTGCATCTGTTTTATTTTTTTATTTATTTTTTTGTATCTCTGCTCTTTCTGTGCCTCAATGGACTGCTGAGAGTGAGTAGAGTCCCCCTTGAGGAATTCACATTATTTCAGTGAATTATACACGTTTCTTGTGTATACAGTCTGGGGACTTTGAGCTTACAGTAAATGACATTCATTGCTTTACTCAGGCAAAGCTTTACTGTTCTTAGAATCATGACTGATTTTGTTGTATGAGACCAAAACCACTAGTTAAGAAGCTGTTAGGAAAGAATACTGTTAAACTACAAACCAAACAACAACATGTTGCCTTCCTATGTTTAATGAGATCTTCATGTCCTTACCTTGCCAGGTTTGGGATTCTCTCAAAATTGAGTATCATTCCTGAGACTTAACGACGTTCATGTTGGGTGAGTGCCAGACCTAAGTGAATCAGAAATTAAAATATTTAGTGAACTGTGGCATTAATAGTAGAAATATATAAATGCTTCCCAAAAATATCAAAAGTCTTTCCAAAGAGGGCATCGCACTGTGGTAAGCAGAGGGAGATTGCTGCCAGAGAATATTGAAACATAACGTAGAAAAAGCTATAGAGGAAAAATCAAAGCTTTTCTTGATGAAGTCATCATTTGATTAAATGCACAGCAGGTATCGTTGGCTTTAATTTAGTGTGGTGTTCGGATCTGTGAGGTTTAAATCTTAATCCTGCCTTTCCACTGCCTTGTGTTATGAAGTCACTTGCACCTGGGAGAAGCATTTTCTGGTCGACTGCAGCATGGTCCCAAATGCGAGTGGTTTGTCTTACTTCACCTGCTCCCTCAGCCAGTGCAAGACGTGCGATCAGCGCGTGCACGGTCTCCTGTGTGCTTTCCTGAGGAGGGCGAGACGCAAGCGTACGGCGGCGAGCGATGCCCAGTTACAGTCTGCACTGTGGCAGAGGGTGCGAGACAGCGTCCAGCCCCGCGATGCGCCCCGGGTGCGGGGCACGCGCCTCTCTGCGTCAGCTCGGCACCGATAACCCGCCTCTGCCGCGGAGCAGCTGAGGAGAAAATATGAAGGCGGCTGATGACGCTCATCTCGCCTCACGTCTTCTCACTGTGTTGGAAACAAAAGCCTGACTCCTACAAGCCTGAAGATTCAACAAAGGTAATGTTTTCTGCCAATAGGACCATTTCTCAGGTGAGGGGCAGTCCAGCCGGAGGACAGCGCGCACCCTGACGCCCCTGCAGGGTGCTGCCAGCCCGCGGCCGGGGCTTGGGAGCCCCCGAGCTCGCAGACCTGCCCGCGGGTTACAAATGCCCCAGTTTGTGCCCCGTTTCCCAGTCGGCACTGTCAATAATGCAGCCAGCGCCCCCCTACAGCCTAATTCACCCTGTGACTGAACAGATACATTTTGAGGCTGTGGTCTCATAACTGAAATGGCTGAAATGATTTCATGAGGGCTGGAAGTCTCCATGTAACCTCTATCCACAAAATGGGCTACAAACTTCCCCACATCCAGCAGCAACATATTTTATTCCCATTGGTATTTGGAAGTAGTTAACTTGGGAACTAGAGGCACTGCTCCTGCTTTGCTGAGGCGGCAGCTCGATGCACTCAGGACCAGTTAGCTCCCTGCCGTGACCTGACAGTTTAATACAGCACCCCGGGTTATACTTGGAATGCATTAATCTAAAGAGAAAAGACACATTATTGAACAGCACAGGAGTACAGTGTTTTTATCTCTCTGTTCTCACACTCTGCATCTCTGGGGCTGTCCTGGCTCTGGGGCAACAGTTGTTGAAGACTACTCTAAAGCAGCTGCAACGCCTCAGCACGTACAGAAGTTGCCAGTGCTCTTTCCCCCTTCTATTTAATTGCAGGATGCATAGTTGTTCAGTGAGAAACTGGGATGCTAATCCAGCCACTTTTGCAGAAGAATGAATACAATTTTCAGACAAACACTTCAACTTCCAAATGTTAGCAACCACCACATAACTGCTTCTCTCTCTCTTCCCTGCAACAGCAAAGGCAAATCAGTTGTTCCCTTAAAACAAATGGTACAGGAGAATGTGTCTCAGAAATACTATTTTAGTATTAAGAGTTTTAAAAGAAAAGCTGATGGTCTTTTTGTGAAAGAAATAATGTTTTAATAGTTACCTCAAAACTGCACGCCGCACCATGTAGCCCATACACAGAGGAAGGCTCTGCTGAGCTGGCTGGGGCTGGAAGATGCCCAGGCTCCGGGAGGGTATGCAGGACACAGCAGTTGCCATCGCATTTAGTTGTGTTAGGGTGACGCCCCCCAAACCCCAAATCAAGACCCAACACACTGGAAATAGTGCAAATGAAGGGGTGATTCCTGCCTTGCGTTATTTACAGATTAGATAGCCGTGGCAGTGGGCGGTGTGAGTCTGGAAATGTTGCTCCTATTGGCAAACAGGCGAGGAGCAGAGCCGGAGAGAAGGGTACAGCTGACTTCTCCTTGCTCCGTGGAAAGGCCCAGCACAGCGCGTGCCTCAAGCTTCCGAGGTAGAAATCTGTGACAGAGCTGGCAGTTACATCCCTAGCCCTCAAATCTTAGTCCAGGGACTGAATTAACCTCAACTTCTCACCTTCACAAGCCAGCATGAGGAAAGGATGGCATCCACGCCTCAGAAACCACCCAGCTCTCCTGGAGCCTCACAGTTTGGGTGAGACTGGCTGTGTTTGTTACTCAGACTTCTTCATCTACTGTCAAAAACTGCAATCGGCAAGAAGCTAGCTATTGAATGGAGAGAAAGGATGATGTGCCTGGTGACACCTTCTGAAACCTGAATAATACTTCCTTCTTTCTTTTTTCTTCCCCCCACCCCTTTTTTTTTTTTTTAACTACCCTGTCATTATTGCTCCCTGCAGACTTGCTGCCAAAAGTTCAGTAACTTCAGTGGTCAAGACTTGATTCTTAAAACAGATGCAAATATCGCTCTCGTTTATGCAAGACCTTGAATAATGTTAGCCAAATTCCCTCTTTTCTGATACAACTCAGCTGACTTAGAGGGAGTTACTCATGTGTTATAGCAGCATAAATGAGAGGAAGTTCAGGTTCAATGCTTCCTTTTCCAGCTGCATCAGATGTTAACTAACACAGCTTTATTCCCTGATCCTGCCGAAAGAATTGATGACGGTGGTACACGAACAAAGACGCCTTCACATGCACAGAGTTGTGTACATTGTTGTTGTTAAACAAACATGCCCATGTTAACTTCAGCTTCATTAAAATACAAGAAAAACATTCATCCTGGGATCTCAGACAGGCAATTGATACAAAAGGATGTGTTCCAAATATTAAAAAAAAAAACCCACAAAAACACTCCAAAATAAACAACAACAAAAAACACCGTAAACCCAGGGAAGGTAAATACCCAAAATTATAAACGTTAAAAAAGAAAATATGCTGTGTCCTGCCTAGTACATCTTGAATCATGGATAAAAGGATTTAGCATTCTTTTTGCTCTGTCCACTTTTAATAGGAAAAATCCAGGTGCAGATGTGGGCTTGATTCCAGTGCCAAGCTGCCTGTTCTGTTTAATAAAGAGTTTAATGCAATTTAATCCAAAGAAGCAAAGAGCCTTAAGACACCAGCACTAGAGATACAGAATCCTAATTAATTTTCTGGTGGTCACAGTTGTCACAGAGATTCCCCTGCTTGTGCTTCTGTTAACATGGCTTAAGAAAAAAAAAAGCCAATAAATTCTGTGTTTGCATTCAATCGCAACTCCTAGGGAGATGATTAATATTTATATAAGAAAATAGCATATTACCACACCAGAATTATTCAGCTATCTCCCCCTTCCCCTTGCTTTCTTCTGCCTGCCCATGAGATTGCTCTGTCATTAATGAAGGGATAAGCATAAATACCTCTGACCAGTTCTGCCTCCTCATATGTTGATATGGCAAGTCAGGAAAGGCAAGTAGAAAGAGATACTCTTACCTCTGCCAGCAAACCTGCAGGGGAGCAGGACACGAGGGATGACACCAGCCTGCACGCCACAGGCCCTTCCTCCACGGAGACACCATTACTGGCCTGGGAGGATGAGCAGGTCCCCGAAGCTCCTGGGACTGAGACACCATTTTGCAGCAAGCAGGCGCTCTCCGTACGCTTACCCGGGGGAGTCCAATTGGCATTGACAGAAAAGACATGAATTATTGCACACAGAGCAGCACTTGCCCCCACCACTGTGCAACACACAGACAGGGCCACGTACTGAGGCCAGGCAGGTGCTCAGCCAAGGAACCCAGAAATCTCAAAAAGTGAGTGAGTCGAGAAGGTAGCAAGGGACTGAAAGCATTAGTGGGACGTTCAGTGGTGGCATGAAGAAATCCAGCAAGTCAGCGGCTGTGACAGGAAAAAGCTAACAGGCACGTTAACCAGGGCAGCTGACCGGAGGTATATCTTACTGTAGGAAAATGGTAACGGTAAAGAAAAAAAAAACAGTCTTTCCTGGGAGGCTGTGGAAGAGGCCTTCCCAAAATATCTATAATTTCTGCTGTGTCTGTAAAGTACTGAAACTGTCTATACTTTCTGCGGGCAGTGTCTCTCGCAGATTGGAAAGTGCACAGCAGCTACCTGCATTTACACCATGCAAAAAGCTGTCCCTCAGGGACAGCATGGGGCTGGCCCAGACATACTTTGAATTAGTAAAACCAGACTAGGAAAGACCAACAGCTCACTCCAACTCAGTAAGCAGGTAGCAGATTGCTTCAACTTTGAGACGGGCAATTGATGACGGGTATTCCTTTGGTAATATCCTGTTTGCAGGTGAGGTAAGGAAGAGAGGGTTTAATAAAAAAATGCAAAACCAAAACCAATAAACCAAAAGGGTCCAACCCTGAACGCTGGAGGTAGTTCCTGGTTCGCATCCCCGGTGTCTTTCCATCCTGTATTCCGCCTTCGGACCCTCCCGCTGCACTTTGTCCCAGCCTCGTGCTGCCAGCGCCGGCTCCTGGACGTACTTTACTTTGCTCTGTTTGCAGCTGCCCCACGTGTTGCCCCGTGACCACGTCAGACTCCAGCCTCAGCCTTCACCGCCAGCCCAGAACCAGAGCAGCGGCTCCCTCTGTCCAGGGCTGCTAGCCAGGACCGCTGGTGGGAAGGGGGCCAGCCGCCCCCGCCGCGCTGGGAAGGATGGAGACGCCAGGCTCATGTAACCACCAGCGTGTCAGCACCTCTGACCTTGGCACTTTTCCGTGCCATTGGTGGTGTGCAGTCAACATAGATCTGGTGAGAGAGCCTAGTCGGGGACACTTCCCACTTGAACTCATTACTAATTTGAACACAAAGTAAATGGAAAGTGAATCTTAAAACTGCAGTGGAAATCATGGTTGCAGTATAGCAAGATGGCTCCCGGGAGAAAGATCACCTCGTGCTGTTCTCTGCCTTTGTACTGATGGTTCAGGTACTTGGCCGACATGAATGTGTTTGTAATCCCTGCCGCCTAACGTTTTCTCTAGGAAGATGGTAGAAAGATTGGAGGCTAATGTTTGTTCCAAAATGCTGCGGATATGAGCACCTGGAGACCTGCTATGGTTTTGAAAGTTAATTATATTAAAAGCTTAATCAAAATCAGCTGTGGGTGCTGTGAGAGTAATTACAAGAGGAATGTTCCTATTTCAACAAGGCAGAAGTGCATGTCTAATCTTAAATACACTATCAGTTCCGGTTTAAAGTAAGCACCTTACGTATTTTGTTGAATCAGCACCCAGATATCTAAATGAGATTAATCCAGTCGCTAGGCTGTGTTTAGCACCCTATCATCACCTGCATTACTGTGGCTTTCATAAAAGGACATGAGGACTAGGTAACCCGAAAATTGCACACTCCTGCTTTGTTCAGACTTGAAAAGCTTTCCCTAACTTTCTTCTTCAAATGGAGGAATAGCTTCTCAGGAGAAACATGGCTAATATAAAATGACAAGTTAACACTGCGTAACGCACCCAAAGCAGCTTGCGTTTCTAGCACCCATGCGTAGTTATATGGACATTTTAAAAGTCATTTATGCTTCTAGGAACATACACCACACGCAGGTTGCCATTGCCTGCACATTTAGTTCTGAACTGGGGTGAAGTTCTGACTGAGAAGCACACTGAGGGCCACTCAAATAACGTATCCCCGGTTCGATATACGCAATAGAAACGAGCAAACTCCAGAATGTGTGATCTGCAACCGTAATGTCCCCGTTGTAATATGAGGACAACATACCAAGTTATTTTATTTCCTCCTGATTCAAAAGCCACATGGCATTTGCTGAAAGCCAGTTCAGTTTTTCTGAATGTAGTAAAATATCCATCTGCAACAAAGGATAAGGATTTTCTGCTGCAAGAAAATAACATACATGTGATAATTTGAACAAACCGAAACCCTTTAAGGCTCAAACAGATTGCATGTTGTTTTTTCCGAAATCACAGATTGTAACACATGACAGAAGTAGAGCATGTTATACAAGGGGTTGTTATTAAGCAAACAGGGAAAAACACTCAATGGCCAGTGTCTGCCTGGTCACTGAAAACAGTTTCATTGCACGGGTTGGTCTCACCTGTATCATTGTCACTCCCATTTAAAGATACCTAAAACAAAATGAGTTCCAGTGGGCTCACATGCACTGATAAAATGCATCTGTTCCTAATCTGCGGAAACTGATTTTATGATATTCTAGACAATTTTATGATATTCTAGACCATGCACAATGTAAGAGTAAGAGCTTTTATATATGGGACTGTTCAGGAGCTGGAGGTAAAGGCTGGGAGGGTGAAGTCCCTCTCCCCGCTGGCTGCAGGCATTTTCCCTCACATTGGCTTGGGCTCTTGGCAAATTGGTCTTCATTTGAAAATGTTCAGCTCCTGAATTTGCTCTGTCCTCTGCTCTCTACCCTCCCCAGACAGCTGGACAGAAAGTTACTGCAGTGACTGAAGGTGCATCCTGACCTAAGAAATCTGCCAAGAAAACTGAGACTCTTTAAACCTGTCTTTAAAACAAGCCTTTTATAGCTACAGAGTTGGTCATATACAGAAAATTTTATTATTCTTCAAATTATTTAAAGGCCAGTGGCGTTATTTGCCAGATGACGTGGCTGCAGATCATTACCTGGGAAACAGGAGTCCTTTCAGCCTGGAGTTCATAACGTCCTGGGAATCCCTAGGGGCCGTGCGCCCCGGCAGCGTGGGTGCACGGGATGCTACCAAGGACCGCCGTGGGCTGGCCATCCTCGTCCAGCACAGCTGGCACCGCCGAAAAATGCCTGTACCGGAGCGGGAGAGCCAGGCTCTTCCTACACAACTTTCTGCAACGCTTCTGCCACACTGAGCACTGTTTGCACTAGCAGAAAGGGGTGGATTAGGGGAATAAAGAGGGTTTGCCGAGAGAGAGGAGCTGTAGTTGAGGTGGTCAGCTACGGCGTCCCTTGCGGTCCCGCTCGCCCCAGCAGGGTGCCGGTGGGAGAGCCTTGGAGCTGCGCTGCGCCAGCGTTTCCTGTGCCGTCAGGCTGTCCGCGGCTGGCTGTCCAGAACACACAGAGGAACAGCATGCAAAACGGACAAAAATCGCGCTGTTTCACAACAGACGTGATTTGTCCAAGCTACAGCGAGCTTTTTTCTTAATGACTACCTGGAAACAGCGGCCACGGGGATCGGGTGCGAGCGGGGCCCGTCTAGACGCGGCCGCTAAACCCGAACCTCCTCCCGTGCACGCTCGCCTCCTCCAGCCCCGTCAGCGCAGAAAAGCTGCCCGTTTTTGTCGCCGCCGCCGGGACAGAGGCCCTGGCCGCTCTCGCGCCCCCGCGCCACCGCTGCTCTTGGCCCCTCCCGGCCGGAGGCGGTGGAGAAGCGCCGCGGGCGGAAGGAGCAGCCGGGGCTCCTCGCCTCCCAGCACCCAGCCCGCACCGACTTCCTCCCCCGGACGGGCCCGGCTGCACCGCTTCCTTGCAGGGATCTGTAAACCAGGGGGTGGCTTTAGTCACGTGCCATGTTCTTAGCAGATATTTTAAGTCCCACTTAGCCCATCAGCTTAAAAACATGAATGGAAGAGCTGAAGGTATCATCCTGAATTTCCTCATGATCTTCTCTTAAAATTCCCCCACGGCTGACACTTACGCTCGGGCTACCTAGGACTACGTATTTCACCAAGCTCATTCATTTCACTGGTCTGAGGTGATCTGTGGTTTCAAAATCCTGGTCTCTGAGGAGCACACTCTCCTCCTGTCTGGGAAGTGCTGCCTCCCCCGCGCGCCTCTGGACCCGGCCCAGCACCCGGGCGG